ACGGCACCCAAGGCAAGCTAGCAAACCTATGGCAAACCTGGGGGCAAACAAGATCCGTGATTGAAGAAAGTTGCGGTCCTAGTCACGACAACTTTGCACAATTGTGGTTCACACTTAATGATTCCCACCGTGTTACATACTGTAGTTGAAGTTTTTGGACCGGATCAAGACCAAGGGTTTTTGGCAATGTAATATTACAGCTGGTGATCAACCTGTTGGACCTGATTTAAATGATATCAAAACATGTTTGTGAAACTATAATTTTTCAAGTTGGTTTTTTGTTTCTTCTTCTTTGTAGCATCTCTTTTTGATCTGGGATTCTGATCCCAGCCTCACCGAGCACCTGGTAGGCAGGTGGTGCTCAAAGTGCGAAATGTCTGGATTCCAGGTGCTCGGTGTGGATAGGAATCAGATTCGTCGATCATACAGAGATGCCAACGCGGTTTACTAGCTGGAATCCAGGTCGTCCTTAGACAAATTGGCTAACCTGGATTCCAGCTAGTAAACCGCGTTGGCGGAACATGAAACTTTTTGGGTACATGACGGCCAGGTGACGGCCTGGGTGAGGGCCACGTGACCTCACCCACATTCCTGTCACCTAGAAATGCCCTTTTTTTCCCGGGCTCTCCACCTGAGGCCACACTGATTTGATTTCAGGTGGGCCCAGTTTAAAGTCGCCCCGTGGTGTAGTGGTGCCATAATATCGCCACTTTTCAATCCTTCCACATGTGCCTGCCTGCCTTCCCAATTCCTATGAACTTGCTGCGCATTATTCAATCATCCAAAACGCATTGCTGCAAAATCCCCCTGCCGATGTATATTACTACATTACCCTTGTTGTTTGAATTCACAGAGTATCAACCGTTTGAATTCACAGGCCGCAATGCACCCTGTTTGTACAAGCTTGTCCAACTTCATCAGTGTAGATGTAAGGGCTCAGGTATACCGTAGGTAAGCCCATGGCTTCCTAGGTATGGGTTTTTAGAGTGAGGAAAACTACTTTAATAATTCGATAAAGAAAAGGAAGATTTGAAAACTTGCTTATTGTCGATATCGTCAAGAAACAAAGATCCTTTCCACTCATGCGTCACTAACCCTCCTTTGCCAGCAGTGCCATCGAACGTAATACAAGTCATTGGAAAAGGTCGTAGCGAAGTGACAAGGCGATGTTTGGTGACAAAGGAACGGTCCAAAAAACTGCGAGACGCGCCTGAATCTACTAACGCTCGAGCCGGAAAGCTGGTGACACCATCGTGCAAGAAAACGGACAAGATCAAACGAGAGTCGGCATTCTTTTCGCCGTGAAAAGCCAGAGAGGCGACATGAGCATGAATCTCATTGTCTAAATAACCAAAGATGGGTTGAGTAGACAAAAACTCTTCAGTTTGACCAAGAGACTCAGGAAATTCGACGTTATGAAATTCATGAAAAAGAGCAGATACACCAGTGGTAGGATTAGGTGGCTGACCAACAGAATCAATCAAAGGCGGAAACTCGGACAACAAATTAGTTTGAAGAGCAGCTGGAGCTTGATCAAAGCCAAAGTGGGATTGTGGGAGAGGCAAAGCCGGGGTGTGAATACGGCGTGATGCCGCCGCAGAAGGACACCTATGAGGAGGAATCAATCGTCCAGAAGGGTGAGGATTGGCCGAAACTGCCGCTACCAAAGGTGAACCAGGACCCAAATTTCGTCGACATTCAGCCACAAACGCATCCATGTCAGCCGTGGTGGCACCGGGATTTGGGCAAACAAAACGATCATTCGCGTCACAATGTGTTTCATCATATGCCTTCAAACAACAATAGCAAATCGTTCGAGAGGTGCACAACTGCCTATAAAATCCCGCACTGCAAGTCGTAGGTCTTGCGATTTGAGGGCGAGCATGAGGTCGTTGAGTTTGATACACATTCACATCTACTTGCATGGCTGAAGGGTTGAAGGGAACAATAACGCTAGGAGTAGAGTGAGACGGTTGGGCCGGAACAGCAGGACGTGGGGGTGGTTGAGGATTGGGGTGGGAGCGAACCAGGTTAAGATTAATAACTTGCTGAGAGGCTAATAACGCCAAAGACTGCTTTTGCTTGAGGGTAGTCGCCGCAATCCCGTCCGGCAATTGAATAGCACACGTTAAAATAGTCGGATTGATTGCCTTCCCATAATAATCACACAAAATGATATCACCGAGATTCAATTGGAATGCTAAACTATCAAATTTGGCGTTGAAATGCACCAAAGGAAGGTTTCCTTGACGTAAAGCTTGAAGTTCCTTGAGGGCAGTAACCGCGGAAAATTTATCGCCAAATCGCTCAGCCAGAGCATCAAAAAAGGCATCCAAGGACGCGAGAGAAGGAATAATGGTAGCCAGGCCAGTTATCCGGAAGAAAGCCGGGGTCTTGCCTTTTCTTTTCTCTTTTTCTCTTTTTTTTTTTTTGTTTTTTTTTTCTTTCGTTTTTTT